CGTGCGTGTGCCACTGCGCTCCAGCTGGACGACAGAGGGAGACTGAATGAAAAAAAAAAAGCCATGGGAAAGAAAGGCACACAGAGAGGAGGCGGCCAGGAGCCTGGAGTGAAACAGCTTTAAACCAAGAAACCTAAGGACAAGCAGCTCCCATAGAAGCCAGAGCGGCAAGGAAGAACCCTCCATTAGAGCCTTCAGAGCGAACGTGGTCCTGCTCACACCTTGCTTTCAGACTTCCAGCTTCTGGGACTGTGAGAAAATGTATTTCTGCTGTTTAATGTTGGTGGTGATGTGCTGTGGCAACCCCAGGAGACGAATACAGAAGCGGGCGGGCAGAAATGGAAGCACTCGGCACTCGGTGAACCTTAGGCCTTGACGACACTCCACAGGGCTGCCCTTTGAGAGCAGAACCCATGCAGAAGACTCTGGATGTGCTTCAAGATCTTTTACCCACTTCGAGAGGGCCATGTGAGAAGGCATTACTGATGTGCGCCGCCTTTGCCCTCATGGAAACAGGCCGGGCCCCAGGCAGCAGGCGGGCACAGGCCCAGGGCCTAAAGAGCCTTTGTTTGGACATTCAAGTGACCAGACCAGCAGCTGGACTCCCAGCCAAGCGCCTGCCAGGCAATAAACCTTTGGCACACAGGCTAAAGCCCCAAGCCATACTTGGCTGCCTCCCCTTGGGGCAGAATCACCAGGGCCAGAGAGAGAACACGCCCCCACAGTGTTGCCCCCACCCCCCGGCTTCCTGCTGTGAGGGTGATGGGGGGAAGGGTGCAGCGCAGCCATGTCCTGCTCACATAGCACGCTAGCACACAATGGCAGCGCAGCGCAGCCTGGGCTGGGCACATCCACACGGTGTGAACTCACCGAGTCGGCACAACCCTGTGAGGTGGGAACTGCTGACAGCCCCATTTGACAGATGGGGAGACTGAGGTGCCCAGAGGAACCTGCCCATAGTAGCCGCCAGTTGGTCTCAAAGCCAAGACTTAAACCCAGGAACTCTGGGCTGAATCATTTTCTTTTTTCTTTTAGAACTGGAGTCTCTCGCTCACCCAGGTTGGAGGGCAGGGGCATGCTCATGGCCACCACAGCCTCGACCTGCCGGGCTCAGGCGATCCTTCCTCTCAGCCTTCCAAGTAGCTGGAACTACAGGCTCACGCCACCATGTCCGGCTAATTTTTTTATTTACTGTAGTGACAAGGTCTTGCCAAGTTGCCGAGGCTGGTCTCGAACCCATGGGCTCAGGCAATTCTCTAGCTTCAGCCTCCCAGAGTGCTGGAATTATAGGGGTGAGCCACCACGCCTGGCCCTTCTTTTCATTCTTCTTCTTCTTTGCGTGCGTGTGTGTGTGTGTGTGTGTGTGTGTGTGTGTGTGTGTGTGTGTGTGTGTGTGTGTAATTGTGTTTGGATTGATGTGTGTGATGGAAAGAGAGAGAAAGAATGAAAAATAAAAACACCAAATTATAGATTTTCACTATTCTGAATGGGTAATAACTAGAGAAGTTTTTTAGGACTGCCTGCCTCAGTTTCCCTTTTAACTGCTCAGTTGCTAAGGTATGTTGTCGAAAATACTAGAGTCTGAACACCTCTCAGTGTCCACCTGCTTGTCACTCCCAGAATGGGGAGAGAAACCCTTGGATGTTCCTGAAGGGGGTCTTTAGACTGGATGGTCCTCCCCACTATCTCTGATAAGTCTCTTTTCTTCCAGAAGCATAGTGTTCTGATCCCAAAACCTATTCTCAGTCCTAACCCATTAGACCCCATAAAGTCATTCTTCGCCTCTGGAAGCCCTGCTCCCTTTATTCCCTTGTACATATCTCTCCATCCTGCCCCCTGACCAGGACTTTATAGTTTCTATCTTAGCTTCTCTTATGCTTTCCCCTCAGTATAGGTTCCTTAAAACCTCGCGTCTTCTGTTCTCTTGTTTTCTCCTTCTCTACCCTCCCCTTGTTAACATGCTAACTCACAGGGTCTGTTACCCTCTTCATCAGAATCTCCCCAGTCAACACCCCATCTGGGTTGTCATCTTAACCTTAACATCCAAATGTCGTCAACATCCAAATGTCCACTTCCACCAACAGACAAGCCTAAATATGTGGGAGCCAAACCCACTAGCCTCCTGTTTGTCCCAGCTGGGGTAATATGCTACCATCCCTGCAGCTTTTGCTTTGTCTGTGTTGTCTGTTTCATTGTCTTTCAAATCCGATCACCTCTGTGCACTTTCATTTGTTTGCTTGAATTAGCTTTTAAATTGCGCCTTTAATTTTATGTCATCTTTTGGTTTTTTGAATGACTGGCAATGTTCATATGGACCAACAATATGAATCACATTAAAAGGCTTACGTTGAAGTGGATCACCCCCTTCCACTCCCTGCTTCTCACCCTCGACACTGCCCTCTAGAGATGGTCATTGTTATCACGATGTTTCCTATTGGCTAGCAAATTAAATATTTATACATTTCTCCTTTTCTTACACGAAAGGCAGTAAGAAAATGCTGCTTCTATTGTATTTTAACCTCTGCAATCTCAATTCAGGCCCTAGTCCTTCCTCTCTCCTAGTTACAACAGTGATAGGATAGGCTCTAACTTGTCTCTGGGTGAGGTGATACAGTAGGATAGTTAAAAGCGGTTCTGGAGAAGACTTTTGAGTCTTCCATTGACTGAATATGTGGTCTTGGGCAAGTGGCTCAACTTCTTGGTGCCTCAGTTTTCCCAAATAGATAAAATGAAATAATTACTGAACTTATTTCATTCACTAGTAGGGTGAAATGAGACAGAAGGCAAGCTGCTTAGAGCAGTGACTGGCACGTAGTAAACACTCAATGCATGTTAGCTATAATCATTATCTCTCTGCTATGGTCTGAATACTTATGTCCCCACCCAAATGCATATGTTGACACCCAATTTGAAATGTGATGGTATTAGGACCTGGGTGGGGCCTTTGGGAGGTGATTAGGTCATGAGGGTGGAACCCTCACAAATGGGATTAGAGCCTTTATAAAAGAGACCCAGAGAGCTGCCTTGTGCCTTCCACCATATGAAGAATAAAGAGAGGACATCTTCTATGAGCCAGGAAATGGGACCTCATTGGGCACTGAATTGACTGGTGTCTTGAGCCTGTACTTCCAGTCTTCAGAACAGTGAGAAATATATTTCTGCTGTTTATAAGCCACCTAATGTGTGGTATTTTGCTATAGCAGCCTGAATAGACGAAGACACTCTCCAATCTAACTTTCATTCTTTTTAGAAGTATCTCAAAAAAACATATTGCTTTTGTCTCAAAGACATTCATTGCTTACAGAATAACTGCAAACACCTTAGCCCCTCATTGATGGCATTCTGGGATCTGGCACAAAACAAGTTCTCTCCCCATATGTCTTTTTCTATTCATTTGACACTCCAGCTATAAAGATACACTGCTTGCTCCAAAGACCCTGACCTTTGTTTTTCATGATTTGTCAGAAAAAAAGCTCTTTTTTCATTCTCTTCCTGTGGAAATGCTATAGATTTTAAAAATCCATACGAAATACCATCTAATCCAGGAGGCCTTTCAAGAATTCCCTACTTTCTCAGAGTTAATCACTCATTCCTCTGGGCTCTTCTCAAAACTCTTTGCATTCTCTCCTTAATTCTTAATCTTTGTATGCTTTGAATTCTAGTTTGTTTCCAAGTCTATCTCTTTTTTTAAAATTGAGAGTTCTTTAGGGCAGAGAGTTTTGCCTGTGTCTCCTGCCCCCTTTTCTTCTACCCTCTCATGCTTCTGTGCCTGGCTCTGAAAGCTTTTTGGGCCAGATAGATTCGTCAGCCCTGAGGGGTAGAAAGGTCTTTAAGAACCGTTATAATTAAATAAGATATGATTTGCTAATGATTGTTGCATATAGTAAGTACTCAGTAAAAGCTAAGTGTTATTGATAAAAAGAATCTTAGCATGTTACTGTTATTGGCCCCACATCCCATTTATTTTCTAGAATCTCTGGGTATAGCATCCCTAACTAGCTGCTGTCCTCGTATTTGAGCGCTCTGGAGCTGAGGAGTTTATCACAGTCTGAGATAGCCACATATCAATGTGTGTTAAAAAGTTTATCTCCACAGGAAGTTGAATTCTGTCTCTCTGAAGCCTTTCCTCACACACACACACACACACACACACACACACACACTCTCTCTCTCTCTCTCTCTCTCTCTCTCTCTCTCTCTCTCTCTCTCTCTCATTCCTTATATATCTATCAAGCACTGACTGTGTACTAGATATTGGGAAATGAAACCAGACCTACGTTCATACAATTTTTACTGTTCAAGCACATAAATCAGTCAGTTCTGCACCTCTTAAGACACTCTGATGAAAGGATGAACTGGGCAAGGAACTGGCTGTTATTATCAGACCTCCAGAATCCAATTTCCTCTTTCCCTTACCCTCCAATCCACCTGCACACTGTGGCCTTGGCAAGCCACGGAGCCAGGAATGAATTCTCTGCTTTGGAAACAGAAATAGGTTCAGCAGATGTTGGGTGCCAGAGGATAAAATCCTGCAGCCTCTTTCTGCTGAGGTCAGAAGCCAGGTCTCCTCACAGACACTGGCTGGGCCATAAGCCAATCAGCAGATGTCCAGAGTGGGGCAGAGAATCCCCTGCTTAAGTATGGGCACAGGTGACTAGAGAACTGAGGAGGCATTCAGTGATGTTTCTCAAGGACACAGAAGAAAGTTTTTGGCATTA